GTTGGGCTGGATTGGGTTGGGTGGCTGCTGGAGCCTCATGTCAGAGACAGGAATAAATGGTAGTGGAAGGTGTCCCTGCCCATGGCAGGGGGTTGGAACTGAGTGGTCTTTAAGGTCCTTTCAACCCAGACAATTCCATGACTCTGATTCTGCACAACTGGTTTGGGTCTGACATTTTTTGTAGCAGAATTGAGGGTTTTTTCCTTAATTTGGTTGGAAGGTTTAAAGAACTAATTAGAAAAACATGCTTGCCTGATTTTTATGGGTAGCTCCTAATGATGCTGGTTTGAAATGTCTGTCAGGGAAGGATAGTTTGAATTTTACAAAGCCAATTTCAGTAGCAGGCCACAGTTGCAGATATTCCAGTGTTTTTAAAAAGCTGTATATTTTTATTCCTTTTTATTTCTAAAAACGTGCTGCTGCAGTTGGTCCCTCTGTGCATAATTACCCTTTATGATTCTGCAAATATTATATCTAACAGTAACAACACAATTCATTCTGCAGCACAGAATCTCACTTTATTGTAAAACTTTGCTGGCATTAGTGAGTTGTATTGTTTATTCAACAGTGATTTGTGTTTATAAAAATAGAAATCTCCTAATTGCTTTCCAGGCAGAGATATTTCAGTGGAGTGATTTGTTGCTGTTCCCGTGCTCTCTGTAAGAACAGGGTTTGCTGGGGGGATGAGTGGTTTGGGTGAATGTTGGTGTCAGGATTGGAGGAGGATCAGCTGGGTCTGAATCCAAACCTCCTCTTTACAACCCTGCAGCACTTGGGCTCTGCTGGGGACAAGGAAATGCAAGGGGAGTTTCCCTCTGGCTTTTCTCAGGTTAGGCAGAAAACAAAATAATTCATCTTCTGATTCATTTAATGAACTTGTTCCGGTTGTTGCTGTTTCTGGCTGAATGGGATGAGTGTAAAAAGGACAATACTCAGAGATGTGGTGACAGGAACTGTGGTTTGGCTGGGGATGGAATCCCTCAAGGTCTGTGTGTGGTGTTTGGGGACCTGCTGGGGCAGTTTTCCCTTGCTCACTGTTACACAACTTTTAAGCTGTTAAGTCCTTGTGTGTCTCCTCCTGCTCCTGGTTCAGCTCCCAAGGACAATCCCCTGGGCAAGCCCAGGGCAAAGCAGGTTCCTGAAGCCCAGATCCATCCTCATCCCATTCCCTATTGCAAGGACAGAGCTCCTGCCTTGGGCAGAAGAGTGTGAGCAGCAGTTTTGTGTTCCTGGGGAATGCAGGAATCCCTGAGCATTCCAAGGGGCTGTTCCTGCACCTCCTGTGCTGGCAAGATCCATTTGGGGCTTGTTGGCACTGAGGTCCCAGCACTCCAACAGTCTGGGGATGGAATAGGTGCTCCCCACCAGCAAGTGGATTTCTCCTGAGCCTGAAAGGTTCCTGTCAGTGCTTTCAGAGGCAAAGCTTTAGCTGACCATGGGGGCATCAAAAAGGCAGCTCAGCTGAGAGCAGAAATACTGCAGAGACTGCAGGGTTACAGCCTTGCAGCCTTGTGGGGTTTAAATTATCTTGTGTGGTTTTTGATCTTTTGAAAGGTTAAATTGTTGGTTGCTTTCTTCTCTCAGAGAGGTCAGGCTTGATCCCCCACTTGTCTGCTCAGTTAGGGATTCCTTGGCACGGCTTTTGGGGTCATCAGTAAGGAAACCCCACGCCTGGAAGTGTCCAAGGCCAGTTTGGACAGGGCTTGGAGCAACCTGGGATAGCAGAAGGTGTCCCTGCCCGTGGCAGGGGGTGGGACTGGGTGAGTTTAAGGTCCCTCCCAAGCCAGACCATTCCATGATTCCATGATCCCAGCACTGCAGCTTTGTGGGATCTTTAGGAAAGGGGGGTGTGTGAGCCTGGTGATTCCAGCACATCTCCATGTTACAACTCAAATGCAAACAACCATCCAAACCACTCCTGGAGGGCAACATCTTCTTGAGGGAACCATTTGTCTTCCTTCTGTCTTCCTGTATGGACAAGGAACATCCAGGCAAACCTGGAGTGAGCAGAGGAGGGAGGACAAACAATGCTGAGCTTTGGAAGGGAACAAGACAAGGACTTGACATTTGAAAATTCAAGCCTTTGCCTTTCCAACCAAAGCCCCCCTTTAGGTCCTCTGTTCTGGCTTCAGTCTGAGCCCTGGGTTTGCAGACCAAGCAAGAGTGAGAACTTACAGAGCCTGTGAGTGACCCCGTGCACTGACTGCAGGAGCACAAACTTTACCCTGGGATCAGCCTTCCTTTGCCCTTCACATAAACAGTTTCTATCCTAAGCTGTCTCTTCAAAATGAAGCTTTTCTCTTGTCAGAAATACAAGCTGCAACATTCTCTTCTTATCCCAAAGCAACAGCAGTCCAAGGGTGTACCTCAGGGCAGGGGGATCTCTCCTGATTGCTTTATTCCCTTTTCATTTTTAATAAAGAAAAGCATCAGGTTTCTTCCTTTTAGCTTTAACTTCCCCGTTTCCCAGCAGATGTCACTGGCACAGGGTGGCACTTGGTGCTGGCACGTGCAGGCTGGGCCCGTGTCACAGGGGACAGGGGGAGGTTTGTCACGTTCCTGATGCTAAACCTGCTTGGTTGTGCATTTACAAATTGGCTCTTTGTTTCTCAGCTGAAATTTGGTTCATGGGAAGCTTTAGCAGGGAACTGAAGAACGAGTTACAGAGATGGAAATGTAATTAATTATCAGGTGTTTTCCTTGCTTCCCTGAAATAATTCTCCTGAACCAAGCAGCGTTAAGGATAAGGCTGCTCAAGTTCACCCAGGGGGGTTTCCATGATTCAGCTTATTTGAGGATTCCTGGGCAAAAATGGTGCAGTTCCTGCTGGAGCCTCAGGCAGGAAGGTGTTCATGGGAGTGAGAGGGCACTTTGGTGAGCTGGGGTGAAGGTTTGATTTCTGCCTTCCTTTGTGACTTCATGAGGTCCCGAGTGACCAAACCACGTGTGAGCTGGTTCTTCACTGTCCCCAGCAGTGGCAGGTGCTGCTCTTTGAACTCTCAGATCACTGCAGTCTAAAACACTTCTTTCCTTGAACAGAAAAGACATTAAAAGGATCAATACTGGGCAACCTGAACAGACAGGGGTTAAAGCCAACCTCACATATTCAAACATGTTTATGTTTAAATACACACAGGATGTTGGTTCACCATTCAGTTCCTCGAGACAGAACTTTTTTTAGCTGATCTAGTGAATTCTTCAGGAAGAATCTAGAAGATTCTAGGTCAGGAGGAATATCTTCATGGGAAGGGTTGTCAGGCATTGGAAGGGGCTGGAATCCCCACCCCTGGAGGTGTCCAAGGAAGGACTGGCCGTGGCTCTCAGAGCTCTGGGCTGGGGGACAAGGTGGGGAAAGGGCACAGGTTGGACTCGATCATCTTGAGGGGCTTTTCCAACCTAAATGGTTCTAAGCAGAGGAAGTAAATTTACCCAGGAACTGCTCTCCAAGTTTTGAGAGCTGCTGGTGAAGTTTTCTTCAGCTTTGAGTGCTTGGGGTCCCAATTTCAGCAGCTTGAGCTGAATAACAACGGGTGGCTCTGTTTGGAGCTGTTTTTGTGGAAGGGCTCTGAAGAGGCTTTGAAGCCTCACTGGGGGGAGGTGGATGTGCTTTGTGGTTGCTTCCTCTCAGTAGGTACAGGTAGAAGCAGGTCATTCCTGCCTGTGGAAAAATCCATCTTTTCTGGGCATTTGTGGTGCTCTTCACTTTTTCAAAGGAAATTTTCGAGATTTTTGCCTTAGGAAACCAAATGCATATTTCATGCAAACCTCCAGGTTTTGTTGGATCACCTAGGAAACAACAGATTCTCTTTTTTTTTCCCTTCTTTTTAGAATAAGGCTTTTCTTCCCACTTTTCCCTTGTCACTTGTGGCACCAAGCTCCCTTGAGAGGAACAGCTCTTGAAGGCTGATGCCCTGCGGTGTCCAGAGGCTGCTGACAGAGACCTGAAAAACTTACTTGGAGATTTTCCAGCTCTAGGCCAGACCTTCATTTCCCCCATAAGCTTGTCAAGAAGTGTAAATTAGGACTGATTCGTATTTGGAGCAACAAGATATAAATACAAAATGCCCAGAAGGTGCAGAGAACACAATGCTGGGAAGGGCTGTTCTCCAGGAGGGGATGAGCTGTAGCTGAGAACATAAGGCCTGTCCTTACTCCTACAAACACAACAGTGGGTTTGCAATGTGTCTGAGTCCTTTCTGGGTCTGCTCCCCAACATGACAGTTTTTCCCTAAATTTGTACCTAAATCACAGCAGGTTTTATTGACATAAATAAGCTGTAGCTGCACGAGGCACCTGAAGCAAAGTGGGTGCTTGGAAAGAGCTGAGAGGGCAGGAGTTTGGGAGCAATGAGAATGTGCTGCTCAGGTGAAATAAGCTGCTGGACCTCCCCTTTGGAACATCTCTGGAGCTGAATTTATGGTTCAGTGGGAACACTAAAAGAAAGACACTGAGGGGTTGGAGCAGGTGCAGGGAAGGGAACGGAGCTGGGGAAGGGGCTGGAGCAGCAGGAGCAGCTGAGGGAGCTGGGGGGGCTCAGCCTGGAGAAAAGGAGGCTCAGGGGGGACCTTCTGGCTCTGCAGCTCCCTGACAGGAGGGGGGAGCTGGGGGGGGTCGGGCTCTGCTGCCAGGGAACAAGGGACAGGAGGAGAGGGAACGGCCTCAAGTTGTGCCAGGGCAGGTTTAGGTTGGATATTAGGGAAAATTTCTTCATGGAAAGGGTTGTCCATCCCTGGCACAGCTGCCCAGGGCAGAGGTGGAGTCTCCATCCCTGGAGGGGTTTAAAAGGCCTGTGGATGTGTCACCTGGAGACGTGGGTCAGTGGTGGCCTTGGCAGTGCTGGGGAACAGTTGGACTTGATGCTCTCAGGCCTTTTCCTCCTTTATGATTCTGTGAAAGCTGAGCATGTTTTCCATCCCTGCTTCCTGGGCAGCAGCCACAGGACCTTCTGAGGTGGCCCTGGTGTCACAGCACTGGATCTGCTCTGTTTGTCACCGTGGGCTCTGTGCTGGGGGCGGGCACAGACAACACACCAGCAGGGCCATGGCAGTGAGCAGGAGACGTCATCAGACTCTTTGAAAAAAGTTAAAATAAATCATCTGAGCTCCGTGTGGGGCAGATCCCAGACTCAAAGGACTGGGGAAGCCTTTGGTTCAGCTGCCAGGACCCAGCAGGTGCTGAACCCTGAGCTGCATAGCCAGAGTTTGAGGAGTTTGAGGAGCCCGTGCTGCTCTGCTCCAACACCTCGACGTGGCACCAGGCCCTCCTAACCTACTTTCTCTGGGCCATTCAGTGTTTCAGAGCCTTTAGGTTTTATCCCTCCCATTCATCTGCTTCCTAAAATAATCCCAGTTACTCAGCATCTCTTGCTGTGAGACTTCCCAGGCCCTCAGTCATGTTCTTCACCTTCTCTGAACTCTCAGAGTCTCCCTCACACTCCCCATCCCGGTGCTTTCCCAGCTATTCCAGGTGAGCCCTTGGCACCCAGGATGTTATTCCCATATTAATCCTTATCCCTGCCAACACTCTGCTTATTTTGAGTTGCCAGGCATGTTTGTGCCAAGATCTCTCCAGAGCTGTCTGAAATCATCCTCACTTACTTTTTCTGGCTCGGTGCTGTTAATGTAAAGCTGTCACAGAGCTCCCCAATTTGCATTTTTTTGCCTTTATCTGCTCTGAACTTTGTCACTCTGCTGCCTGTTGACTGAGAATATTTAAGTTCTCCCGTTGTCTCCTGACTTCACCCTGGAAGATCCTATTTATCACATCTCACCCTTGTCTCCCCTTTGCCAGCTGATTAATAAATACCTCGGTGACTGTGATGCACTGATGGCTCTGCTTTTGCCTCGCTCAGAAACAGTTTCTACTTTGTGTCCTACTTTCTGAGGCACTTCTGACAAAACTTTACCTCCTGCCTTGTGGTTGTTTAGAGCTGAGGGGCATCTGAGAGCCTGGGGGATGTGGGAGCTGCTGGAGAGAGTCCAGAGGAGGCCCCGGAGATGCTCCAAGGGCTGGATCCCTCTGCTCTGGAGCCAGGCTGGGAGAGCTGGGGGTGATCACCTGGAGAAGAGAAGGCTCCAGGGAGAGCTGAGAGCCCCTTGCAGGGCCTAAAGGGGCTCCAGGAGAGCTGGAGAGGGACTGGGGACAAGGGATGGAGGGACAGAGCCCAGGACAAGGATGGGCCTCAGGTCTGGGCTGTCCCAGCCCCTGGTGCCCCCTGAGCTCTGCAGGGCAGGGATTCCTTGGGGAGTTTTTGGGGTGCCAAAGGTGTCACAAAGGAACAGGGCTAAGGTTCAGTGTTGCTGTGGGAAGCACCTGTCCTTGTCTGAGTGAAGCCCTGGACTTCCCCAGGGTGCCCCAGCTCTGCTGGATAACTGGGAATGTTGCTGCTCTGAGGCTCCACATTCCTCTGTAAAATGGGATTACAGGGCCCATCTTCCCACTGCACTGTTCCAAGAGCTGTGGAGAAAACCTGTCTGGGAGCTGTGTGAGTTCTGGGTGTTCACTGTGGGAGTTCTGGGTGTTCACTGTGGAAGTTCTGGGTGTTCATTGTGTGAGTTCTGGGTGTTTTCTGCCCGAGTTTGGTGTACCCATGTGTGAGTTTGGGACATTTATTACTGCAGAGTTTCATTCTGGATGTTCCTGCAGTGATTAGTGGGGCTGAAAATGGTTTTCCCCCCAGGTCAATCGCTTTAACAAGGTGGAGGACAGAGCCATCTTCATCACTGACAGACACCTCTATAAGATGGACCCCATGAGGCAGTACAAGGTGATGAAGACCATCCCCCTCTACAACGTAAGTACAAGGGCCAGGGAACCTCCTCTGAGTCTCTCTCAGGGCAGTGCAGCTACTCTTCAGCTCCATTTTCATCCCCATAAAATGGAAAAAGACAATTTTTAATATATTTAATGCCTTTATAACAGTTACAGTGCAGTTATTACAGCACCAGAGCATCATGGTGGGATCCTTGGGGTTGTCCTGTGCAGAGCCAGGATCTTTGTGGGTCCCTTCCAACTCACCATATCCTGTGATTCTGTGGTTTTATATCACATTAGCTTTTAATTTCAGTGCATAAAATAAAAGCTAAACCCCAAACTACCTCTTACACGTTTCTACTCCTTCCCTATTTCAGTGTTACTTGCTGTGTGCAGGATCCTGGCCCCATAAGGGGGTTGGCATTTCACAGCAGCTCCTGGCACTATTTCAGTGTCTCTGAGGGTTTGTTTGATCCTTCCTGTCGTGCTGCAATTTATTTATTTATTTGTATTTGTTCATGTTTAATGCAAATCTCACCAGAGCTAAATCTGCACTGGGGTGGGGTCTGGCCTCGGGGGTGGAGCTGCAGGGGCCGAGGCAGCAGATTAGCAGGGCTGGGAGGGGGTGGGAGCACCTCCTCTCTGCTCCTCAGCACCCTGGAGGGGGGGATTCAGCTGCTCTTCATCTCCCCAGCCCGAGGTGGCTCTGCTGTGGTTTATCTCCCCCTGCAGAGCCTGGCTGCTGCCCAGGCACATGCTTTTGGGATGTTTGCCCTCGGAGGAGCGACAGAGCTGGCACCTCTGTGTGGCTGAGAGGGCAGAGATGGGATTAGGGTGAGGGTGAAATCTCCTCTGCAGGCTGTGGAGGGAGTGACTGGCTCAGGCTGCATCCCCTGGGGTTGATTTACTGCCCTCCCCAGCCCCAGCTGGGCACCCCCTGCTAATTCCTGCATGCTCACCTTACCCAGAGTGACCAGGCCACTGCAGCTCACTTGCTGTGTCAGCAGTTGTAGGTAAACCTGTATTTATCACAGGTTTAGGACAATGTCTGCTTTACCTGCATGCCTGATGGGTTTAAAGGTGCAGCTTGGAGATTTCCAACAGCAGGAGCCCAGCTCACTGTTGGCAGCCTGAACATTTCCCTCTGAAATCCTTAATGCCTTAAAAATTACAGGAGGTGGGCGAGTCAGACACAGCTTGGGGGTCACCTGGAGAGTATCTGTTACTCTGAAATGGCAGTAATTATTGCTTTTTCACCAAAAAATGGGGTATCTGAAGTAGAATTTCCTTTCCTGCAGAGCTGGAGCACAGGCTGGGTGCTGCCTGTGTGTTGGTTCTCTGGGTGCTCTGCAGCTCCTCAGGCACCAAAGCAGTTGATGGGCTCTGCAGATGAGCCTCTTGCTCTTAGAATTCTTGCCTGTAGATATCAATCAGCTTTATTTGGAGATCTGCAGTTGTTCCCTTTACCAACCTACCTCAGGGATTCTTGGCTGGTTTCCTTGACCTGAGCAGGGGTCCCTGGCACTGAGGGCTCCTGGAGTGCTGGGCACAGGGGAGAGGAGTCCAGAAGACCCTCTGATGACTCCTACAGTGTCAGAATAATATTTCAGAGTGGAAATTGGATTAAAACAAGCTTTGGTGAATTCAGGGGGGTTAAATTTCTGCTCTGTTGGCCACAGCCTCTCCTTTTACCTGCTCCTGCACTGTGGTCCTGGAGAACATTCCCAACCCTGCCCATGCACAGCGGGATTGGGCTGTGGGGCTGATGGACTGAGCCCTCTCTGAGCTGCAGGAAGGGGGGAGGAGGAGAGAGTTTAGGGAAGTATTTGGTTCACACACAGCACATGAAATGTTTCACAGAATCCCAGGATGGTTTGGGTGGGAAGGACCTTAAAGCCCATCCAGTGCCACCCCCTGCCCTGGGCAGGGACACCTTCCACCAGCCCAGGTTGCTCCAAGCCCCGTCCAGCCTGGCCTTGGACACTTCCAGGGGCAGCCACAGCATCTCTGGGAATTCCATCCCAGCCCCTCACCACCCTCACAGGGAAGAATTCCTCCCCCTGTATCACATCCAAACCTGCTCCCTTTCCATTCGAAGCCATTCCATTTGTATTTCTTCTGCCAGGATTTCCTAAATTGAACTCTGGCAATCAATGCTGTAGTGCAGTTGTTTGTTCCTTTCTGTAGTTATATTTTGTCACAGATGCTTTGTATATGCATTGCCTTTCACCTCCAGCCTGCCTTGCACACTCTCCCCTGTTTTTCCCTGTGCCTGATCCCCTCTGTCCTGGCAGCCCTTCCAGTGGAAGGGAGGTGGAGTGAGTGGCTGATTAGTGACATAGAGATTCCTTCCCTTTTGGGGCAAGAACAGCTGTTTGAAATGCTGTGAAGGGTTTTGGTGGGTGACAATCCCAGCAGAGGGGATGTGTCTGGGTGCACCAGCCCTGTCCCACAGGGTGTGTGTTCTCTGGGAGGACGGATCACCCTCCCCACAGGCAGAGGTGAAGATCCTCTCCCTGCTCCCTGTCAGCACAGCAGCACCCTTAGGGCTGGTGTTTCCATGGAAATCTCACTGGAGACAGCCAGCTGGTGGCTGGTGAACCACAACCTTGGGTTTGGCTGCAGAAATCCCTCCCCATCTTCCTCAGCTGGGGTTGCCTGGATGTGGTTTAGCACAGCCCTGCTCAGGGCTCTGCCCTGGCACCAGGGGGAAGGGCTGGAAACTAAAGCAGTTTTGATTTGGCTTAGATGGCAGGAGGGAATCCTGCCCTGGGAGGGTGGGCAGGCCCTGGCACAGGTTGCCCAGAGAAGCTGTGGCTGCCCCTGCATCCTTGGAAGTGTCCAAGGCCAGGTTGGAGCAACCTGGGACAGTGGGAGGTGTCCCTGGCCATGGAACTGGATGAGCTTTAAGGTCCCTCCAAGCCAAACCAGGCCATGACTCTGTTATTTGTGTCATTCTGTGCACATGACCAGCAGGACCTTCCCTTTCGACCCCAGTGGATGAAGATGCTGCTTTGGGGGGATTTTCCCTGTGGATTTTCCCTGTGGATTTTCCACGTGTGGTTACCTCAGAAGTACCAATATACAATTACCTTTTTTGTTCTTACCTGAATTAAAACCAAACAGATAATGGCAGAGAGGAATTAAGAGGCACCCAGGCAGCAGAAAGGCTCTTGCAGGCCCTGTGCAGTGGGAGCACAATGAAGGATGTTCTGTGGAAGCTGAGGGTTTTTTTTCCTGCTCTTCAAGCGCAGCCAATATTAGTGTTGGTAAATACTGAGATAAGCACCTTCTCTGAAATGATTTCTTTTGTGTTGCATTGATTTGTTCAGAGAGTCTTATGGGGAGGGGTGAAATGGGAGGAATTTTGAAGGGCTCTTGGACTCCTAACAGGGTTCTGTTGAATAATTAATGTTTAAATTGCCTTTTCAAATCCGACACTGCGACTTGTTCATCTTTCACACTCGCTGCACATTTAAAACCCCGATGGCAGCAGTCCCCGTGGTGCTATTGTGCTCACAGGAGGGTATTTAAGCATGCAAATTAATTTTAAGGGACACTATAAAGCCAGGCAGCTGTTAATGCCTGTGCATGAAGTGGAGCTTGTTTTGAAAGAGCCTGGGCAGAGAATAAACCCCCCCTGTGCCGGGGGATCGTGGTCACAGCAGGTCCCTGCCAGGGGTCCAGGGGCAGCACTTGCTGCCCTTCAGTCCCTGGGGGAACAAACCAACAAAACCCCAGGGATTCGGACCTTGGGAAGTGTCTCATCCCAAAACCAGGGCAGGGCTGTTGGCTGAGCTGGGCTTTTCTGGGGTGTGTGAGACAGGCAGAGCTGGAACAGGTTTCTTGGAAATAATCTGTTGTGAGTGTTAAACCAAACCCAGGGGCCAGCCTGGGCTGGGTGGGATCTGTGTTCCAAAGGAGTCAGGAATGTCCAGCTGGAATTGGTGCTCACCCCTCACCAGGTCTGGGGCTCCACAGGAGCCTTTTTCCTTGAGGAAGGGAATAAGGAGACTTTGATTTTCAAAATAATGGTGCATGGGTGCCTCTCACTTGTAGGAGGATGTGGCTTCTCTCTGCAGATCTCTGGGTGACCCAAAGGAGTCATGTGGCCCTTTATTGGAAAAGGAAGCTCTGCTATGTTCTCTCTGTACTCATCATCCTTTAGCCTATTTTATTTAATTTATTTTAATTTATTTTTTTATTTTTTTTAATTCTATTTTATTCTATTTATTTTATTCGATTCTATTTTTCTTTTTGAATTTTATTTATTCTTTTAATTTTATTTTAATTCAACTTTTTACTTCCCTTTTTAATTCTATTTCTTTTATTCTATTATATATGTTTTATTTTATTGTATTCTATTTATCTTATTCTATTTATTTTAATCTATTCTATTTATTTTAATCTATTCTATTTCTTTAATTCTTATCTGTTTGATTTTATTTTATTGTATTCTGTTTTATTCTATTTATCTTATTCTATTTATTTATTTTATTCTATTCTACATTATTCTATTTATTTTATTTTCCTTGCTCTTTTCTCTGGTTTGATGTCCTTGCCTTTTGATGCTTTCTTTTTCCCCTCCTTACCCTTTGTTTCCTCAGCTCAGATTCATTTTCTGCTTTCTCTGATATTCATCTGAATAACCTGTGCACCCACATTGCCCCCCCTAAGAACTCCCTGCTTTTCCTTTGTGAGATGATGCCAAAGCTTTTGCTGAGCTGGGTGCAGCCACTTCCCAGACAAAAAGAAAACAGCAGAAAATAAAAAACCCAAACCAGACCCCCACACCTTTTTATTTTGTCAGAACAGCCAGACCTGAATCCAGGCCTAAACATGGGAATCATCAGGGCTTTGTGGGGTTCATGGTTTATATTCTTGTTATATCTGTCCCAGGGTCACAGAATTGTTCTGGCTGGAAAAGCCCTTTTAGTTCCTCGAGTCCAGCAGCCAACACCATGGTCACCATTAAACCAGGGCCACATCCACATGTCCTTTGGGTGTCAGGGTCACAGAATCCCAGGATGGTTTGGGTTGGAAGGGACCTCAAAGCCCACCCAGTGCCACCCCCTGCCCTGGGCAGGGACACCTCCCGCTAGCCCACCTTACTCCAAGACAATCCAGCCTGGCCTTGGACATTCCAGGGCTGGGGCATAAGGTTGTTCTTGCTTTCTTTCTCCCCCAGCTGGTGGGGCTGAGCGTGTCCAACGGGAAGGACCAGCTGGTGGTGTTCCACACCAAGGACAGCCGGGACCTCATCGTGTGCCTCTTCAGCCCCGAGCCCTCCAGCGACAGCAGGATCGGCGAGCTGGTGGGAGTCCTGGCCAGCCACTTCAAGAGGTCAGTGCTGGGGGGGTTGGTGGACACTCAGGTCACCTCCTGCAGTCACTGTGGTGCCAAATTCACTGCCTTGCTGGGGTACCAGAGCTTCTCCTGGCGTTTTGGGGACTCACCTTTTGGCTGCAACACTTCATTGCCTCTTCCCCTGCCCTGCCTGTCAGAGCTTGGGGGTTTGGGGAGAAATAGCACTGAGGCTGCCTTCACAAACTGGCCTTGATTTTTGTGGGTTTGAGTGTAAAATAACCCACAGGGAAGGGTTTTAACACCTCAAAGGTGAGGGGGGGGCCCTTTTCAGATTTAAACGTTTTAAATTTTCTCTGGGGACAACACTGCAGAAACCAGAGCTGGGTCGGACACTTTGAAAGCATTAGGACACCAAACCAAGGCTTGCTTTTCATGATATGTATTTTAAATGTTACACTTAGATGTTATTCAGAAGAACACTGTAAATATAGTCACAAAATATAGTAATCCCAGGGTCTGATATAGCAAAAATAGGGAGCCTGTGTCTTCGTTAACAATGAATTAATTTAACATTTAAATAGCTGAGACATACCAAGTACTTATCTCATGCCTCAAATAAAAAAACCAGATGTTTATATATCACTCTCAATATTTTAGAGATACACAATGGCTCTTAGGGATTCACAATGGCTCCTGAAGGCTCCTTTCAGCCAAACTCTTAATCTGTAAAACCGAGACAGAGCTTTTTGTTTCTCCAGTTGCTCCCAGTTGTGTCAGCAGGTGATTTATTGCTGAGCTGTAAAATGTCATCTGTGTTTCCTGAAGTCTGTTTGCCTGGTAAATCCCTGTGCCAGGGCTGTTTGTTGGGGATCAGTTGGTTACCTGGTTAGCCAGGACTGAGCTGCTGGAGCTCCAGCTGGAGCAGAACAATCCCCTGGATTCCAGGAGCGAGTTCTGGGCAGTCCAGAGCAGCCCCAGGAGTCACAGGAAGGACTCTGTGGAGAAATGGGGTGTGGAATGAGCACCTGGGAGGGTTCCCTGGTCCTCCAGGGCAGATTCCCAGGAGGAATGTTGCTGATCAGCACGTGCAGCCTTTGCCATTCCCAGTATCAGTGCTCCATTTGTGACTGATAGTGCTGAGCCTTTATGAGTAAATCTTCACACAGAGCTGGGAGTGGCAGGAAAATGAGAGGGAATTTAGGTCACTTGAGGTCCCTGGGTATATTTTCTGTGAATTCAAGAAGGATGTGCTGGCCCAGCCCCTTCTCCCCATGGTGCTGTGGAGCTCAGGGCTGTGTGTGCTGCTGGAGCAGGGGCTGAGTCCCCTGGAAATGAATCCTCAGCACTGGCATCACTTGGTTGGGGAAATTTGGGCCTGAAAGGCAACAGAAAAAATTCTCTGGTTTTGCTTTTACCTAAATATCATTTAATCTCAAACTCTTGAAGGTTCAGGAGGGGCTGTAAAGCAACACACATTCTTTGGGAATCCTGTGGAGTTGCTGGAGCTCTGTCATGTCTGGCATCACCTTCGGGTGGCTGGTGCTGCTCAGGGCCTTGCCAGGTGTCCAGAGTGCTGTGAAACTCTTGGTTACACTCCAGATCTTGTGTTCAGTGGCCAAACTGCCCAGGAATCCTGTTCCTTTTCCTTGGATGAGTCCCCAGATCTCCAGCCTTTGTCACCTGTGCCACCCTCCACCCCAGCCACTTGTGCTTCATTTTAACCAAGGGTGTTGTGTGACCATCAGCCTGAAATATTGACCTTCATCTAAAGGTGTAAACCCCTGATTTTCAGGGTTTTTTACTGATTTTAACACTGATGTTTCTATCTTGAAAAAGAATTAGGTTTAATCTAATCACTGTCTGGAGGTGAATGGCAGTTAAATACACTCACATGCTGAGAAGCTGCACTTAAATTAGCATTATTTTACTGCTTCAAATGACAAATCTCAGCACAGCTGGTTAAAGGGGAGAGCTGGTCTAAAAGCCCATTTTTCCCAACATCCAAGAAAGGCTCCTGGATTAAGGGTAATGCACAGGACAACTTGCATTTAGCTTTCCTAATATCCCAATATCACGGTTTCCCTCTTTAAAGCAATATCTGTAAATCAAAATGGAAGGAAATATTCATGGTTTCAGTCACTCTCAATTTTCCAAGAGTCAGAAAATGCTGTCAGTGATGGGATTAGCTGACCCCTGGCTGGAGAGGGGCTTTGGGAATTCCTCATTAACCAGGATTAGTTGGATGTCGTGTGCCCCTGGCAGGGGTTGGGTTTCCCTGTCCTGCCTGGGAGGAGGTGGTTGCTGAGAGCAAAGCCTGGGTCCAGCAGGAAAGCCTTGAGCCTGAAGGTTCACTTTGTGACCCACAGTGGGATTTCAGAGCTCTGCTCCACGTGGGAGCAGCTCCCATGGGTGCCAGGGCTCCCACTGGGGTCCTCTCTGAACACACAGAGCTGTTTCCAGCCATCCCAACATCCCTCCTGGAGCCCTGTGGGAGGTTCCAGCAGGGCTGGGGTGTCACAGCCACCTGTGGTTATGTGGGGGGCAGAAGGCAATGATATTTTAGCTATTTGTGTAATAAAATCATGTCAGTTCAGTGCCACTCTGTGTGTAGGGAAGGGGAGGGGGAGCCTGGTGGGGGAGCCTGTGCTGAGGATGCTCAAACCTTCTCATTCAGCTGTTTGTATCAGATTTTATTATTTTTTCCAAACTCTTTGAGCTGGAAACTTCATTGCTGAGACATCTGTTTGGGAATTTTGGAGGTTTTCAGCAATAAATAGATTGGACACTTCAGAACAGGCCTAGAGGTGACATCTTTAGGTTCTGAATTCTGGCAGCTGCTTTTGGAGACGTGACCCTGTTCCTGTTCTTGGGCATAAAAGCTTCACATTTGGGAATGTTTTGCCTGAGTTCACGTCTTTTCACGTACCTGAAGCTGCATCTTTTAAAATTATTCCTGGTAGGAATGGCCTTACCTGGAGGTTGTGCTCCCAAGTGAGTGTTCATGGAGTGTAAAACCAACACGATGCTTCTGTGAGCTGCAAAATGTTCAGTGGAGTTACCAGGAGTTTGAGTCATCCTTCTAATAGATGAGCTAGGTTCATGTTTTTTTTAACAATGCACTTACTTAGGCAGCTGAATTCCCAACAGAAATTATGGGAATCCAGCTGAGATGCTGATGTGGCCACAGTGAGTTGATGTCTGCCTGCAAAACATGTCCATGAGCTGAGCTCCCCTGGTGTTTGCTGCTGTTCTCTGGCTGTCTCAGCCCCAGGGATGGGCATCTCCTGCCAGAGCCCTTGTCCCTGCCAGGTGAGAGGAGCTGGGGTTGAGTGAGGGCATGGAATAGCTGGGAAAATCCTCTGGCAGCAGAGAGTGGGGGGTGGTCCCTCCTATGAAATGGGATCCTGGACACTTGTTGCTGCTCAGCAGGAAGCAGAGATGCTCTGACATGACTTGGGCAGCACAGAGCCCTCATCTCGGTTTCCCAAGGCAGGGAAGCAGCTTTTGGGAGCTGTGGATGTGGCCACAGTGTCCCTGTGAGTGCCAGAGCCTGGGCTGGGAGAGAGGGACCTGAGGAGCTCTTGGAGGGGAGAGGGTGGCTGTAAAGGGGGAGGATTATCAGCCAGGAATGACTTGTCCTGTCCATCTTTTACACCTTCGTGGCCCTTCAGGCTCTAGAAGATGTTCCAGCTGCTCAGTCCAGCAGACTGAGGACTCTCTGGCTGCACCTCCCTGGGAAGGCCCTGTGGGTTCCTTTGGCTCTCCCCATCCTTGGTCACACTGTGACCCTGTGTGGGTGCTGTCACCTGCCCCCTGGGGGTGTTCAGGCAGCTCAGGTGTCCCCACAGAAGGTTCCCAAGGCCCATCCTGTTCCCATTTATTCCTTTGTTGCTGTGTTGGAGCTGGCAGGGTTTGTTCTGTCTCGCTGCCCACGCGTTCGGATCACTGTGTCACTGCTCTCCCGTGCTTTCTGTTCCCTAATCCCCACATTGTCTGCAGCCACAGCCCTTGGTTTCCTTCCAGGATTCCTGAAGGGCAGGGGGAGTTACCAGTACACAGCAATCCCTGCAGAAGCCCAGCAGAAAATCACTTGCCTGAGGATAATTTGGTGTTTTCCAGCACACTTCAAGACCCATCAGCCAGTTTGGGTCCTCTGTGCCCTGGATTCGTTTCCCTCAGTTCTGGGGCCTCCCCCTGGTGTGCCTGGAGCAGGAATTCACACCATCCCAGAGTGTATATGCACATATTACAGAATCATGGAGTGGTTTGAGCTGGGAGGGATCTTAAAGCCCATCCAGTGCCCCCCCTGCCTTGGGCAGGGACACCTTCCCCTAGCCCAGATTGCTCCAACCTGGCCTTGGACACTTCCAGGGCTGGGGCAGCCACAACTTCTCTGGGCAACCTGTGCCAGGGCCCAGAATATGTGGGGAAAACAGATGTATATATTCTTAGGTATGTGTAAAATGTGGCAATTCTATGTATAAATATGTGTACATAGATTTAAAAAACCTGGGGAGGGGGAGTCTGTGCCAGCAGAGAACAGAACCCCCAGAACCATCAGGGTTGGAAGAGACCTTCAAGATCATCCAGTCCACTGTAACCCTTCAACAGCTAAACCAGCCTTTCAAAATAAAGTGAAATATTACCAGGTTTGGTGGAAGGTGCCCAGCTTTGCCAGACTTCCATATCAAGCAAGGCTGGCCTGGGAAAGGGCATCCTTCCAAAACATCCTTCCAGAACATCCTCCCAAACCTCTGTGCCTGACAGGGACAGATCTGGGATCAAAGCTTTTATCTGCTGAGTAGCAGAGAGATCCTGCTGCAAACAGAGATCCTGGGCCAGAGTTTCTGGCCTGAGCAGAGCAGGAGCCTGAAGGGGAGCAGAGGGATCCCACCTCGGGGGGTGCAGAGGCTGCTCCTCCTCGGGGGGGTGCAGGGAAACCCAAAGCTGAGCTGGGGCTCAGCCTGGAGGAGACGCCTCAGGAGACTCACAAAAGCCATTTTTGGGGGAAAAAAGAGCACTTTGACCACTTCCCTGCTATTCAAAGCTTCAGCCTGAGGACTGGAGCTGTTCAAGGCTGAGGCTGAGGCGTTCAGCCCTCACCCCCTGCCTGCATAAATCAGTGTTTGATAAACCCCCACCGGGGCTGCAGCGATCTGGGGGGTTTAACCTGTTTGGTACAAAGAGAAGAACTCAGAAATGTTTTTTTTTTCTGGTGTTCTGCTCTTTGCACCAGCTCCCAGTGTGGCAAACAAAGCCTCCTTTTTGTGAGAGGTGTTAATTTTTGCCCTTGTCTAAGTGGTGCAGTTTGAGGTGATTTTGTCATTAGTCTGAATGTGGAGGGTTTGTCACAGAGATGGAGAGAAACACCCTGTAAATACCCATTTTCAGCCCATTGTGCAGGAGAATTTCGTGTGTTTTTGATGCTGTCTGTAAACAAAGCCAGGGGAGATTCGACATGATGTGAATTTGCTTGTTTAGGGAAAAATGCTCAGCTCAGTGATGAGCCCGGTCTGGAACACAAATCATTTGATTAAAATGGATTCAAGCTTTTTTTTTATTTGATTTTTTTTCCACTGATAAGGAGAAACAAACCTTCCAGCTCAGGCCCAGGAATCAGACAAGAGGTTAAACCTTCAAATTGTCATAAAGGTGGTTTTTTTCATATCAAAACTCAGCTGATTTTCATCAGTTTGAGACTGTTCCTTTCTTTTAAAGCTGTTTGCCTTCCTGTGGTAGAAAACCTTGATTAACTGCTGAGATTTATAGATAAGGGAGCTAAAACAGCACCTTCTGTGGATCCTGTGCCAGTCTGGAGGGGATGATGGGGATGTTAACCTTGGGTTTCTGGGACAAAGCACGAAAGAGGAGCCCAAACTGGGATTTGAGCTGGTGATGTGTCTTCCCAAAGCCTCATTTCAAGGAAATAACCATCTCCCAGGGCAGAGCCTGCACACAAAGGAGGGCTGAACCCCTGCTATCCAATTATCCTGTCACTGGAGCTTTGAGGAGGATCCCTGA